TTGTTGAACCTCATCAGGTTTTTTTTGGCCCAATCCTCTAATTTGTCTAGGTCCCTCTGTATCCGATCCCTACCATTGGCTTAGAGCATCTGCACTAGCAGCACTAGAGCGATGCAGCTGCATTGGTGTAGGCGCCATAGAGTAGCCATAGCCTAAATCCTGGGACCTAGAGTTGTAAAAGAGCCTCTTCCGTTTTCTACTCTGAATGAAGGCCAGGGGTCTGGACTTCTGCAAGCAAACAGATTGATTTTAGAATACTTTGTATCTGTACAGGCAGATGTCCCGAGCAAACCAGTCATCCGGCCGTACCGCCCACCCACTGCCCAGGAGGTCTGTTACCGGAGGATTCAGCTGGCACAGCAGCAGGCGGCACAGCTGGCTGTGGCAGTCCAAAAGGCCTCTCTTGCCTTGCCAGGAGAAAAGAAAAGGATTGCTCATGTGCCAAATGTAGCACTTTCCACAGCAGCAAAGCAGAGTAAGTCACCGCTAGCTCCATTAACTGCCGTCCTTTCACTTTCTCCTATGAAAATGACACTGTCTCCTTAAGAGAATGTTTTAAAGATAATAAAAGCTCCAGGTGTTTTGCAGCGAGAATACAGGAAAACAGGAACATTCCTCCATTTGAGGTAGCACTGGCCAAATTCAGATTTGTGTGTGCTGGGCCAGAAGTCAGGATGTTGTGATTTTCCCCCTTCCTTTCCCCTCTCTTCCAAACTGAAAAATCCCATGTAACAGGATTCAAAAAAGAATTTCATGGAGGATAGGTCCATCAATGGCTATTCGTCAGGAATGGGTGACAGGGGGTGTCACTTGAGGATTACCTGTTCTGTTCATTCTCTCTGGGGCACCTGGCATTGGCCACTGTGGGAAGACAGGATGCTGGGCTAGATGGACCTTTGGTCTCACCCAGTATGGCCGTTCTTATGTTCATTGTTTTCTGAAAAGTAAGAAACTCTAGGAAGCGCGCACACGTTTTATGAAATGAAACAAAATGCACGCTACGTGATCCATGTCATAAGTGTATTTATTCCTCAACCATGTTGTCCAAAATAAAAAGCTTTGCCATTCTCTTAGCAAAACAAGAATGCCGTTAGTAACTTTCCTTTCCCTTGACTAGTTAGATCTAACGCACTTTTGTATCTGCCTGTACGTACAGATACATTTTCACCAACTTATTTGCTTTTTCACTGTCTAGCCCAGGGGTAGGCAACCTATGACACGTGTGCCGAAGGCGGCACGGGAGCTGATTTTCAGTGGCACTCTCACTGCCCGGGTCCTGGCCACCGGTCCGGGGGGCTCTGCATTTTAATTTAATTTTAAATGAAGCTTCTTAAACATTTTAAAAACCTTATTTACTTTACATACAACAATAGTTTAGTTCTATATTATAGACTTATAGAAAGAGACCTTCTAAAAACGTTCAAATGTATGACTGGCACGCGAAACCTTAAATCAGAGTGAATAAATGAAGACTTGGCCCAGCCCTTCTGAAAGGTTGCCGAGCCCTGATCTAACATATTACAAAGTTCAGAACAATTTGAATGTTCTAAAAGCATGCTGGACTCACGCTAAGCTGGTTGAACAGGAGTTCAGATCTTCTAAACATTGACAAAATTCTGAATGCAGCTGGTCCCGACTTGACTTCCTCAGTTTTCCATCATTTTAATACAATGACCTGTGGCACTACTGCCTTCACAATCCTTGTTACGGGGTAGAAATCTGGATCTTCTGTTTGAAATGCTGGAAGAGAAGGAATGAGCTTATGTTCCACCAGCCATGATTTGGCCACTTCTCCTGTTCAGGGGTTTAACCTATAACCTTTGTATTTGGGAGCAGTAATATTGGCAAAATAATGAAAAGGTTCTGTAATTTCTCTGAATGGCTTTTTGATTTTATTTCTGTGTAGTTCCATCTTTCTTTATTTGTTCAAGCCAAATTTTCACTGAGGCTCTGACAGTGGTAGCATCTGCCTGTAGTCTCCCAAGTCCCCCTGAAATGTCTACTTTTAAAACTGTAGTGCCTTTCTGTTGAGTCCCTCGTCCGCATAAAACGTGTGTTATGCGTTGTTAAGTTTTCATGCCCGTTGGAAATGTCAACATACTAGTTCTAGTTGCATGCCAGCGTATAGAGTTCCACTAGGCAGGGTATCTGTCAGTGTGACTCTTTCTAAAGCTAGTTAGCAAACCGAGCTTCCAACCAATTCATAACTCCACCTACTACCTTCTCTTCACCAGTCAGTGACCGTTGAATCCTCCCGCTAGATACTCTTCTCTCTCCAGTCACAAATGACTTTGTCCATTCCGGGTTCATATAAATCCTTCAGAATGGCGCAAGTTCAAAAAGTAGAAAAATCTGGGTTGACTTTTTTTCTGGATAAAAGCTCTCACAGCACTATAAGCACTACTTTCCCATTGGAAGACCCTCCTGGGTATTGTCAGTACCTCAGATACCCTTAGCCCAGGCTGACGGCAAAGAAGATCTGGAGATTATAATCTAGAATCCTCTATTTAGGATTTTTTGGATGAGAAAAGATGTTTTAAAAATGATTGGGTTGTTTCTTGGAAACACAAACTCTGACATCTGTATTTCCTTCTGCCTACAAAATCTACCCTGCCATGTGTGAAAAGAAAGCCAGCCACTTCTCCATGTGTAGTGTGAAAGCAATGTCCTCAAACAGCATTTTAAAGGGGGGGAAATTGTCCCAATATATTAGTGGCAAGATGCTCTTCTTGCAGATGTATTTTAGAAAGGGTGGTTTTTTGGGAAGAGGCAATACAAAACAATCTTCTTAGTCCACTAAGGATGTTAATAAACTTTTGGGTTAAGAGGAATGGTGGCATATATTTTTTTCAAGACTCAAGTCACTGCACAAGTGAGACATAAGATGAAATATACTCAGCTGAACATTGCCAACTGTATTTAAGGGAATACAGAAGGTGGAATTCTGGCCCCACTGAAGTCAATGGGGAGGGGGGGTTGCCATTGATTTCAGTGGGGAAAGGTATTTCACCCTAGTGTGTTCACTCTTTTGCTTTTCTGTTATCATAATATTGACTCATCATGAAGTGGTTTCTGCTATCTAGCTTTCATGTTGCAGATGTCAGGGTATTCTGTCTCCTTCCTCTCCTGCATTTGTGGCATCATTGAGATCTTTTTGTAATGGCTTTTCTGGTATCTGAGTGTCCATGCTAGTGACTGAGTCCTCAGCTTAGCTTTTCTGAGCCCTTCCCTCTTGCTTTATCACAGAAGGCATTATTTCAGGAAGTGGACAGGTACTTCCAATAGCAACCAAGAACTCTGCTGGTTAGGTGATGAATGAGTCCCCCTGAGACACTTCAGAACACCTTCCGATGCTGTTAGGGCTTATTCACTGGCTCTGTGAATATGGGGAAAGCGGCGGATGAGATATATCTTGACTTTAGCAAAGCTTTTGATACAGTCTCACACAGTATTCTTGCTACCAAGTTAAAGAAGTATGGATTGGATGAATGGACTATAAGGTGGATAGAAAGCTGGCTGGATTGTTGGGCTCAACGGATAGTGATCAACGTCTCGATGTCTAGTTGGCAGCCGATATCAAGCAGAGTGTCCCAGGGGTCAGTCCTGGGGCCCAGTTTTGTTCAACATCTTTATTAATGATCTGGATGATGGGATGAATTGCCCCCTCAGCAAGTTCACAGATGACACTATGGTGGAGGGAGAGGTAGATACGCTGGAGGGTAGGGATAGGGTCCAGAGTGACCTAGACAAATTAGAGGATTGGGCCAAAAGAAATCTGATGAGGTTCAACAAGGACAAGTGCAGAGTCCTGCACTTAGGAAGGAAGAATCCCATGCACTGCTACAGGCTGGGGACCAACTGGCTAAGCAGCAGTTTTTCAGAAAAGGACCTGGGGATTACAGTGGACAAGAAGCTGGATATGAGTCAGCAGTGTGCCCTTGTTGCCAAGAAGGCCATCGGCATATTGGGCTGTATTATTAGGAGCATTGCCAGCAAATCGAGGGAAGTGATTATTCCCCTCTATTCAGCACTGGTGAGGCGACACCTGGAGTATTGCGTCCAGTTTTGGTCCCCCCACGACAGAAAGGATGTGTACAAATTGGAGAGAGTCCAGCAGAGGGCAACGGAAATGATTAGGGGACTGGGGCACGTGATTTACGAGGAGAGGCTGAGGGAACTGGGATTATTTAGTCTGCAGAAGAGAAGAGTGAAAGGGGATTTGATAGCAGCCCTTCAACTACCTGAAGGGGGGTTCCAATGAGGATGGAGCTTGGCTCTTCTCAGTGGTGGCAGATGACAGACAGATGACAGAACAAGGAGCAATGGTCTCAAGTTGCAGTGGGGGAGGTCTAGGTTGGATATTAGGAAACACTATTTCACTAGGAGGGTGGTGAAGCCTTGGAATGTGTTACCTAGGGAGGTGGTGGAATCTCCATCCTTAGTGGTAGTTAAGGCCTGGCTTGACAAAAGCCCTGGCTGGGATGATTTAGTTGGGGTTGGGCCTGCTTTGAGCAGGGGGTTGACTAGATAACCTCCTGAGGTCTCTTCCAACCCTAGTCTTCTATGATTCTATATTCTTAACTGCTCTTCCCTCACCATTTGAGGACATCACATTCATGCATTCCTTATTAAATAAAAGTGACTATTTTATCACATCAGGTAGTGTGGAAGAAGAAAAACCCAAGAGCATTTACACAGATCACAATGAGTAGGAGTGTGACAGGATTTAACTTCTGCCAGTGCTCTTTGCACTGGAACCAAGATGTCTGTAATTCTGACACTAACTCTCAAGTCAAAGACTAACTGTGTAGCCCATTGCAGCAGAAACTTCCACCGTCATCACTACGCAGGTTGGACACATCACGTAATTTGACAGACCCACTGAGTTCTTTCTCCATTGACATGGGAGATGAGCACAAGGAATGAAACGACCATTCCTGCATCCCAGTGTGCAGTGCAGTCCTTGAGCTCTGAGTGCTCAGTATGAGAAGTGAAAATGTGGATGGAGTTTCTGTCTAAAATGATATTTTCTGTACCTTGTAGTCACTGTGGGCATTAAGAAAACCATTCCAGTCAGCAGCGTTACAGCCCCCAATGGCTCTGAGGCACCTGCTCTTACCCTGAAGGCCCGGACGCTAACTGGCATGACGTCTAAGACAACTACTACTGCTTTCCAGAAAAGAATAGCACACGCTCCCAGTCTACAGGTAAAACAAACTCTTGGCATATCAGACCCATCTCCATAGAATGGTTTTTCCCTTCATTCCACACTGGTTTGATTGCATGTAACTTGTGCTGCTGCAGGCTCCCGCAGCAGTGAGATTCAGCTAGCTGCTGCTATGTTCTAACTGCGTTTCCCACTCTTATTGGGTTTGTCCTACCCAGGATTACGTAACTGTAGCATTTAGTTGGGCTGCAACGTACTTCAGGAAATGCTTCTCTGATCATGCGACTCAGAGTGACATTGAGGGCAGAAGCGGTTTCTGTCCTAAAAATAACCTTTTGAAAGCCACCTGGATGTATCTGCAACCGAATTCTAATGTTTAAATATACTGTAACCTTATACCAATCTCTCATCTTGTGCCTGTACCCTGTTTGTACTGTCTGTGTAGATTTGTAGCTGTTTGGGGCACGGACCTTGTCATCCTATGTGTTTGAAAAGTGCCACTTACGCTACAGCTCTCTGTTGCTGGGCAAAAAGGGTGCATTTTCATGTCGTTAGCTCACTTGAGTGAGGTCTACACAGAAAAGCTTTGGTGTTTTTTAGTTTTACATAAGGCGTGAATTTAAACTGGTCTAGTTACACCAGTATATCCCTCTTTGTGGACACTCTTATTCCAGAATAAGAGTGGCTTTTTTCAGTTTAGCTCAGGCTGTGTTGTCTACACTGCCCACTTTCAGTGATAAAATTTTAGACATTCAGGGGTGTGAAAAAACATCCCCCTGAGCAACAAAAGTTTTAGCACTGAAAAGCGCCAGTATAGACAGCACTTTGTCGCCGGGAGCTGCTTGTTCAGGGTGGTTATTTTTTATTGCCGGGAGAGCTTTCCCCCGGTGATAAAGCATGACCACACTGCCCATGTCACAGTGCTGTGTAGACATACCCTCAGACTCCTTCCCAAGTGACCTAAACTAAATTGGAAAAAGGCACGTTGAATAAGGCTACATCTACACTACGGGGGGGGGTCGATTTAAGATACGCAGATTCAGCTACGTGAATAGCGTAGCTGTATTCGACGTATCGCAGCCGACTTACCCCGCTGTGAGGACGGCGGCAAAATCGACCTCTGCGGCTTCCTGTCGACGGCGCTTACTCCCACCTCCGCTGGTGGAGTAAGAGCATTGATTCGGGGATCGATTATCGCGTCCCGACGGGATGCGATAAATCGATCCCCGAGAGGTCGATTTCTACCCGCCGATTCAGGCGGGTAGTGTAGACCCAGCCTGAGTGTCCACACAGGAAGTTATACTGGTATAACTACATCTGTTGAAAGTTACACCTTAGGTTATGTTGGAAAAACTTTCCTATGTAGATAAGGCTGTCACTTAACTAGCAGTACGAGTGATTTTCAGTGGTGTTAAGTTAACTTCATTGAACAAATATGACTGACAGAAGCACCCTTTCTGCCTGTCAAGACAGGGCCAATGGCACGACATAAAACAAACTTTCATCCTCATTGGAGCAATTGGTGCTGCAGGTCCCTTTCACCCCCCAGTCTCTCCTGGTGCACCTCGGTCTTAACGTGCAGCACGTGGGCTGTTATGTTCCTGGGTTTATGTTGGGTGGCTTTGTGATGTGGGCATACAGTTTGTAGGAAGAGACTAAAAGCATATCACTTGTGATGTAAGCTGGCATTTAGAGTATGTCTACACAGCAGTCATCAGGTGTGATTGCAGCACATATACGCATACCCAAGCTAGCTTTGATCTAGCTAGCTTGAACAACAATAGCAGGGAAGCCGTGGCAGCACAGACTAGCTGCTCGCAGGAGCCGGGGCAGGGTTGTACCCAGGCAGCTAGGCGGTGCCTCTGCTCATGCTGCTGTGGCTTCTCTGCTATTGTTGTTCAAGATTACTAGCTCAAAACTGGCTTGGGTATGTCTGCCTGTGCTTCAGTCACACCTCTGATTGCAGTGCGGACAGACCTTTTTAGGAAAACGGCAGTGGTTGGGTGTACCCTAGTCAAATACAGTATTTTTAGTCAGTATTCCAAGACAAAAATCGTTAGGGCATAGAAAGTGCACATCAGTTACTTAAGGGTAAAAGTCCTTACAAGCACTTTGTAGTTGGCACGCACAAAAATGTACAAAGAATGGAAATTCAATGGCGTAATTAAACTTACGAGAACCCCAACTTGCGAGTATGGGAATTCAGTTAGGTTGCCAAATTATCTGAATTCAGCCCCTTAGCGTGTTGCCAGCCTCCCATTTTCCCTTCTTTGCAGGTGGAGTATCGGAAATGTGCACCACAGACCATTGGTTTTATGTTTGGTTTCATACAGTCATGTCTCCGATACGAAGTGTGATGCTTTGTCACCACACTAACCTTGACTCTTTTAATGTAAGTGCTACAATTTTAATGGTCTGGGAAGCTTTTCTATGTAGACATACTAGCTTTGTGTCTAACGCCACTGAGGCCACTTGGCTGCCTTGTGGAATCTTAAGGCCCGATTCCACTTGGCTGTAACAAAACACTATAAAAATCTCAATACCTCTTTATAATACAAATACTGTGGGGGACCAGGGCAGTTGCAAGTGTTATTTTTGCGACTGCAAAGGACACACATTGTATCGGGGTTTGAGAAGGTTTTCAGAAAGGAAGTCACAGCACTATTAATAACACCTGGGAAATATGAGATACCCAAAGCCATTTGTTTCTCAAGCCCTGCACAACCTTTTATTCCTTTCTTTTTCTCTTTAGAGCGCTAGTTTAAAGAGGCCCGTTATTCCCACTGAGTTTGGTGCCAAAGTCCCAACCAACATTCGCCAAAGGTACCTCAATCTCTTCATTGACGAGTGCCTGAAGTTCTGCTCTTCCTCACAGGAAGCGTTTGACAAGGTCTGTGTTGGCATTCGTTTTTAAGTATGAAGTTTGGAGTGGGGGTATTTTTTTTTTCTGTTTGTCATGATCATTTTGGGTTTTGTTTTCTAGCTGTGCTGCAGCCAATGCTACTTATTCAGGAGTGAAGTAGGTTCAAAACGCATGTGATCCTTAGAAAAATGGCAAAGATTACAATTCCAGTGGAATTTCACCTTGCTCCCTGCTGGGAGATCCATGCATGGTCCCAGGGAAATCTCTTCCAGAGTCAGACTCTAGAAAATCCTTCCCAAGTTTTATCCTGAACCCAGAGCATGCTGGTAAAGGCCTTCTGGAGATTCAGTCTGTACAGCTATGCATATGGTGCAGACATGATCTGTAAAGCTCATAGTTCATGTTACCTCACTATTGAGTCTTGGTGCCTTGATTTTAAGGAGCCTCACAGTGACCTGCTAACATATCATTAGCATTTCCTGAGGCAGAGTTGAGAAAATCATGTGCTTTACTTTGAGAAACCCTAACCACTGAGGTCAGTTGGGTAAATTCAAAATAACATGCCACACGTGTCTGGTGCAAAACCAACTCTGAGGATTTTTCTTGTGGCATCTCCCCTTTCCCACTCCCAGTAGGAAATGTTCCTATTGCAACCAGGGCGTGGTTCTGAGTGTGAATGGGTTCTTATCTGCCATTCTGGATAACCTCCCTTTTTGCCTGCTTCATACCTCTGTGCTTTCATGCTGCTGCAGGAGGACCACTGAGCAATTTTTACTAAGACAGCGTCCAGGGCTGCACTGTGAATCTAGCTAGAGTTCAAATGCATCCCCTCCATGACCTGCTGTTAACACTGTTACCCCACAAGTAGGAGGACCCAAGACAGTTTCTGAACCAGTGTCTCTTGCCTTGTATCTTGGCACATTGCTTCTGAAACCCTTTGGTGCCAGTTGTATGGACAATCACTTTGAGGGTACTGTGTTCAAGAAGACTCACGCTCTCTCACACAACTAAAATCGAAGGCGCTAAAGGAGCAGGTGGTAACAAACTGCATTATTTGCAGGCTCTATCGGAGGAGAAGGTGGCTTATGAACGCAGTACCAGCCGGAACATCTATCTGAATGTGGCAGTGAATACGTTAAAGAAGCTAAGAAGTCTAGTGCCCAATTCCCCGCCTTGTGTAAACAGTACGTACTGCACTGTGGATTTTCAGATCCAAAACCATGATGGGATTAGAGGCAGCAGAGTGAAACACATTGAAAAGACAGAGCCATTTCTCAGATGCATTAGGCTTGAAAGGCAAGCAACTCGAGTTAGCGTTATAGCCTTGCAAACTTTAATAGGTCTCCTCAAGAGGAAAATCCTGCAATGCTTTGTTGGCTGTCTATACCTAAATGGAGATAATGCCACGAGGATGGGGGTTTTTTTTTTTAAGCACAAGTTCTTTAAAATGAAAAATCCTGCTAATGGAGTAACTTTCACATGGTGCCTTCAAAGTGAGAGACTCGTCCATCACCACAGAAATCTGTTACACGCATTAAGCTTCAAGAGAGAAAAGAAGAGGGTTAAGACATTTCATTATTGGCTCTCGAGAGGGTACATTAAACAATCAATTTGTGCTGTTCTTGTGAAAAAAATTTCTGATCTCAGCCCCCTCCCTTCACTCCCCCCCCATTACTTTCACAGCCATTAGTCAGCCAGGCTGAACTTTGGGAGGCTGTCCTTTTGGAGAGCTGCCAGTTAATGATTAGTAAAAAGCACCTGTGAACCATTATCTAATGTGTTGCACATATTCCCAGGCGGTGAGGTTCTTTTTTAAGAAGGGTGAAAGATTCAGGCCTTGTCTACACTACAGGGGAAATTCGATCTAAGCTACGCAATTTGAGTTACGTGAATAGCGTAACTCAAATCAACGTAGCTTAGATCTACTTACCGCGGGGTCCACACTACGCAACATCTCCCATTGACTCCCCCTACTCTTCTCGATCTGGTGGAGTACAGGAGTCGACGGGACAGCGATCTGTTATTGATTTAGCGGGTCTTCACTAGACCCGCTAAATCGACCACCGATGCATCGATCACCGCTCGTGGATCCCCTGGTAAGCGTAGACAAGCCCTCGGTGTGGAAGTCTGGTCATCAGGGACTTGGTGGTGGAGCTGCACGCTGTGGAGTGGCTTTGGCCCTTTTGGTGGGCCATGGCGATGTCGTTCGTCAGTAAAGGAGGTGGGGGGTGTCTTTGGCAGAAATGCTGCAGAGATTAATTCTTCCTCTCCTCCCTGCTCGGGAGCTTTTCCAGGAAACAGCCTCGTTTTCCTAGCTACACAGTTGCTGTAGTGGGTTCTCTTCTCCGCATTGCCCACTTTTACTCGTGGCGTGTTTCCGCCAAATGGGAATGCTGTGCAGCAGAAGAGGTCATGGTTCCTATGGCTGAAATAAAGCCTGCCGCATGGCTGCAATGTCCCCTGCATGCAAACAAGATTGTGCTATCCTATCGCACAGGATTGCATGGTATAGAGCAGCGAGCATGCGGCTACCGGGAGTATACTGTAGAATTGTACAGATATCCTGGCTGCCCCTGGGAAAACCACAGTAGGCTGACAGTGTAGGCAGCAGGTTTCCTGTGACAGATAGGAGTATTCCAATGAACAGGCCAGCCCTGAAAGCACCAAACAAATTCCAGCTCCTGAAGTAGAAATTCCAAGAGAGTAAACCAAACCATCCTTTTTCCAGCTACCCAACCTGTCTGTACCCCAGCTTTCCTCTGTGCCCTTTGCCCCAAACCCCTGGAATAAAGACTCTACTGTCAAAAGGTGGCAGCTGCGGATTTGATCCTTTATTGTTCCTGTTTCTCTTCTCCCCTTTCACGGCAGAGACCAGTAACAGGAAGGTGGTGTCCCATGAAGCTGTGCTAGGAGGGAAACTCGCTGCTAAGACGAGCTTTACGCTAAACCAGTCAGGGAACTTGCGGGCGGAGGACTTGACAGGTAAGTCCCTTTTTCTCTAGTTCCATATCTTGCAAGTCAGCGGAGAGAGTATAACATAGCTGGAAAAGGGAAGGGCGGCATGTTGCTGATCCATGAAGCAATGTGACTTCTTCATCGGGTCAAAGCTTTGCACGTTACCACTTACCGAACGGTGCAAAACCTATACTGGGTGCTGAAGTCTATATAAGAGCTGCAGGCTCGTTCACTCCAGTGGCATGTTTGGCATCCACCCCTAGCCCTTGAGGAAAAAGGAGTCCACCTCTGGCTGATGTGCACTCTAGCTGCCCTCCCTCTTCTGGGCCGTACCTTTGAGGTGAGTTCATTAATCCTGCCCATATGGTTTTGATGGAACATCAACAGGTGGTCAGAAAACTCGTTTGATGTGTTTGGATTTGCAGATGCCTTTTGGATGCTCCATATCACTGACTTGCCATTTCCAGCACTGGGGGGTTGCTTTTGCCTTCCTGCCCCAGAAGGTGTGCTTTGCATGTGGTTATTTTGGGTCCATCACCGTAAGGGGAGATTGTCTGTATTAAGTGTTAATATGCCTCCATATGTTCTGTAGGGGATCTCTTTCAAATGGTTTACCAACATTGTACTAAAGGGTCCAATTGTATGCAAAGGATTGTGTCACCGGCATTATCATTGTTGCGTCGAATCGGTTGTGCACATCTCAGTTGCCAAGAGATGTGCAGTAGACAGGCTGTTGGGGAGATCAGAGAAGAGCCACAAAACTACTAAGGGGCTGGAGGGATTGACATATGAGGAAAGCTTAAATGGATCTGTGTAGCTCAGGTAAGCAACAGAGCGTCCTCTTTGCCAAGAAGGCTAACGGCATATTGGGCTACATTAGTAGGAGCATTGCCAGCAGATAGAGGGAAGTGATTATTCCCCTCTACTCGGCACTGGTGAGGCCACATCTGGAGTATTGTGTCCAGTTTTGGGCCCCCCACTCCAGAAAGGATGTGGACAAATTGGAGAGTCCAGTGGAGGGCAACAGAAATGATTAGGGGGCTGGGACACATGACTTATGAGGAGAGGCTGAGGGAACTGGGCTTGTTTAGTCTGAAGAAGAGAAGAGTGAAGGGGGATTTGATAGCAGCCTTCAACTACCTGAAGGGGGGTTCCAAAGAGGATGGAGCTCGGCTGTTCTCAGTGGTGGCAGATGACAGAACAAGGAGCAATGGTCTCAAGTTGCAGTGGGGGAGGTCTAGGTTGGCTATTAGGAAACACTATTTCACTAGGAGGGTGGTGAAGCACTGGAATGGGTTACCTAGGGAGGTGGTGGAATCTCCATCCTCAGACGTTTTTAAGGCCTGGCTTGACGAAGCCCTGGCTGGGATGATTTAGTTGGGGATTGGTCCTGCTTTGAGCAGGGGGTTGGACTAGATGACCTCCTGAGGTCTCTTCCAACCCGAATCTTCTATGATTCTATGAACATCAAAAGGAAACACACCAGTCTTCAAGTATTTGAAGGGTCTAAACACAAAGTGTAGAGGGAGTTACTGAGTGTGGTGCAAGGCGTTATAACTAGGCATAATGGAACAAAATTAACAAAAAGAAAACCTAGGCTGAATATAAGGAAAAAACTCCTGAGAGCAAGATCTTAGATGGCTGTGAGTAGTCTCCCAAGGGATGTGGTGGAAGGCATGTCGTTTGACACACTTAGCCATGGTGAAAACGTTTTAAAGATTGAAATAATGTATCAAGCTCCCAAGTGTACAATCTAGCCACTGAGATGTTCTGAAGTCTGACCCTTCAGAGGAATTCCATTTTGGAATGCCTTAACAGTTCTAGGCCAAAATTTTGAGACATAGGTGCCTAAAATTAGTTGCTGAACAACTCTACAAATCAGGTCATATATGTACGTGCCCAGTGTTGCCTTGGAGTCTATTTCCCTGGACTTAGAATTGTTTAAATACTGAATAGAAGATGTAGAAGCAGGTTTGAGACAATGGGACTCTCTATGTGAGATGTGATGAGTAGCACGGCTGCTGCGTAGAAAATGATTGGTATTCCTGCTGCTTCAGTGTTGTGACATCAGCATTTCCTTTGGTACCTAGGAGCTGCTTTGTACAGAAGACTGAAGGAATATCTCCTGACGGAAGAGCAGTTGAAGGAAAATGGTTACCCAATGCCACATCCAGAGAAAGCCGGCCGTGCTGTTGTTTTCACTGTGGAAGAGAAGAAAACGACGGACTGTAAGCTCCGCTGGCTATTGTGGTCAGCAAGGTTTCTTATCCAATGTACAGCCTGTATGCCCCATGCTGCCTGCAGCCACCCTTGAAGGTGCAGCCTGAGAACGCTGCAGATCCCAGCATGTGGTCATTCGCTTTCATCAGGATAGAACTTCGTATGCTGGGACCCAGGGTCTCTGCAGGCTGCCCCTTCAGACTGAACATGAGGGTGGCTGCAAATGACTCCCTATCGTTCTGATGAACCAGAGGTTTCTAAGGCTTCATGTCCTCGAGAGCTATTTTCACTATAGGGTGTGTGCCCTTTGGCCTCACCACAGCTTCATATGCCTTGTATGGTGGTTCTAGCTGCTGCCAGCGGCAAGAATCTTTTGGTATCCCTTCCTAGGCCCCTTGACTCACATGTCCTCAGAGGAGATGGCCAGGATTGCAGTCACTTGTTCTCCACTGCGTCATGGAGCACTACTGGGTTATAAACCTAAAAACATTTAAAAAATTGTTCGCTCCTCAGGGGTTAGCATATGTCAGTGTCTGATTTGACATCCAGCTTTGGCTGGTGTTTTGTCAATCCTGAGGGTCAGCAAAGGTTCTGTGTTTTGGGGAACAAGTATCTAGACCTCAGCTTTAGGGTGGAGCACGTTTTAATTGAGTTCCCACTTGGCCTTCCTCTCATCCCGTAGGTCCCCTGAGCTACCGGTCTACTTCAAACTCCAGAAATAGTGAGTGTCTCTGGTTGGAATTCAAAATATCCCAGAGCTTGCAGGCCATCCCTGAGGAAGGCAAATGACAAAATTGTTTCACAAAGAGCCTTTCATGGAGCTGCCTAAGGGGTTTCCATGTGGGCATTGAAAACCAAGTTCATGTCCAAGGGAATTGAGGGAGACATACTCTAGGACTCAAACAGCTGTAGCTCCCATGAACTGCTATGGTGGTTTAATAAACAGCAGGAGGTGTCTGATTGGGTCCCCAGTAACACTGCAGCATGATTTAGAATAGTGCAGTTTTCAAATCTGACACTTGGGTGCCAATACACATCATTTTAAAGGCCCTTTTAATAAGCAGTGGATCTGCTTTTCTGAAAAATGGTGTTCATTCGGAGGCCTTCAACTTCTTCTTTTTAAACTAAGAGGAGACCAGAGTCCTAGAGATTGAGTAGAATGTCAGGCCAAAGTGAAAAATATAAATGCATTATCAGAATTTATAAGAGCAAAAATGGGACTTGAGGTATCTTGTTCAGCGGAGTCAGTCATTTGGTTATGGAGGGATAGCTGGCTAAAGCGTGTTAAGTATTCATCCATTTAACACCTTGCATCCACTTTTGTACTGTGAATACTGTTGCATCCTGCATTGAAGTTTGTTGGCTTTAATGCGGTCAGGTACTGTATTTATTAAATGCTTTGTCTTCTGAGCTGACCAGTCACCTACCCTCACGTAGTCCAGAGTTCATAGTACCTAGTGTGTGTCTGCAGCTTCTTGCAGGTGTATTGGAAGATTTGGTTTTGATGCTGTCAGTAACTTAAGCCATTGGAAACATACATCATTATGTTATTACAACCTATTGAGTGAAAATATAAAGTAGATAAGTAGGACACGCAGGCTGTACAGACCTGTTAGCTAAAATGATATTGTGCTTTTGGGAAAATTGTTCAGACTAGAATGCAAGGAATTATTGTATTGAGGTTAGAGGTCCTGCTATCAACTTTTTGGTTTTGGAATCTCCCTTGTAATCTTTTAATAGTGAACAATGCAGAAAGCACAACAGAAAATCACCCAGCACTCTGTTTTTGGGCATTCTTCCTTTCAGATGATGCACAAAACTGATTGTTTTATCACTTGTTGTCATTAACGATCCTATGGTACATTTTTGGAAAGAGCAGGGGTAGTAATATTCCAGGGATTTGGGTCAAGTTCCAAATGGTGAAATTCATGTTGTGCTTATCCTAAATACCCTGTGAAGTTCTATTCTGGTGTTAGTTTGTGGTGTGCTGTTAGTGTCATGTTTCACCCCAGAGGGAGCTGCATTTCCCTATGCCTGCAAAAGTGTTACAGCATTTTTAGTAGGAAATGCAACAGTTAAGACTGTGTTCCAGTTTCCATTCTAAACTTTTTCTCTCCTCCACCCCCTTTTTAGTTGTTTTTAACTTTTTCAAATTCCTCTTGAGCTGAAACTTACAATACTTAGTCTCAGCCCAAGATTACTTTTTTTTTTTATAAGTTTGACCCCCTTTTGACTGATGAGACCAGGGTGGGAGAAATACTAATTTTTCCTTGTATATTCTAATTGGAGACTTTGTGCTTTCAAATGCCTGTTACTTAGAAGATTCAAACAAGGCTTGTTTTACAGTTTGCAATAAGGGAAGAATGCAAGCTGAGTTTGAAGAAAATTGGTTCAATATTTATAAAGTTTTAGGAACTTCAGAATCATGATGGTCACATGTGCTGTTACTACCTTTCTCCATCTTTGTGCTATGCAGTTTCTAAAGTGGCTTGGAGTGTTTGGCACGCGCTTTGGTTTTGAGTGCCCATAAATGCTTATGGCCATCTGAACACAGGCCATGGTACTAAAGCGACATTTTTCATGTTTACATTTTTTCTTTTTTGTGAAATCAGGGAAATTAAATGCAAAACCTAAACATTAATGCAGTGTTAAGGTTGAGAATTCCAGCAGGCAAGATTCAGGAAAATCGGTTAATGTTTCAGCTGCAAAGTTGGCTTAGCCATGGTGTGTGTGTGTGTGTGTGTGTGTGTATATATATATATATATTAGTAGTTTCTAACCCTGTATTTCCATATTCAGGGTATTTCCTAAGTTATTGTGGTTGTATAGCTATCTCAAAATACACAGGCTGTGTGTGTACTAGGCCAGAACTGAGAGTGCAAAGCAATTAACAAACATTAAGCCTCAAACATCTCTAAATTGGTACGTAAGCGGCACTATACCCATTTTATAAATGGGCAAACTGAGCTCTAGAGACTGAATTTCACAAGGTCACCTCCTGCGTCTTTAATGGGGCATATGAGTTCTAGCATCCTCATTCCCAGTCTTTCCTGCTCTAAACACTAGGCAAAGCTCTCTCCTGTTTCTTTTTGACATTGGAAATAGGAACAAGTTTAACTTACTGATTGCCCTGTTTAAACTGGCTGAAATGTAGACTTTCCAGTGAGTTAACTCCCCTTGTTTTAAAGCTTCATGCAGGGTTTGCTGCCGCTGTGGTACTGAATACATGGTCTCAGCATCTGGAAACTGCATTCGCAAAGAGGAGTGTCTCCATCACTGGGGAAGGCTACGCAAGCAGCGAGGTAAGGTCTCTGATGAAGGTGTCAGCAAAACATTAGCGGCACTTTGCCATTTAACATCTGATCTGTTATTAAACTTGAATCACTACAAAAGCCAATTTGTTTTTGTGCTTTGTCATTTTTTTGTTTTCTGTGGGTTTCACCAAAGTTGTGCGCTGTAGCTGCAAATTGTCAGTATGTAATTTTGCCACTTGGTGGCGCAACACATTACAAAAGAGTGGACTTGGCAAAACACAATGTTAGCAGGCGGTGGTGTGATCCATGAAATGTAATGTTGCAGCTGTAGCAAAGATTTACTTTAAAGAAATACTTCTTCCACTCTACTCAGCACTGATAGGGCCTCAGCTGGAGTACTGGGTCCAGTTCTGGGCACCACACTTTGGCAAAGATGTGGACAAATTGGAGAAAGTCCAGAGGAGAGCAAGAACAGTGATTAAAGGTCTAGAAATCATGATCTACGAGGAAAGATTGAAAAAACTGAGTTTGTGGGGGAACTTGATAACAGTCTTCAAGTATGTAACAGGTTGTTATAAAGAGGAGGGTGATAAATTGTTTTCCTTCGCCGCCGCCAGTGGGCTTAAATTGCAGCAAGGGAGATTTAGGTAAGACGTTAGGAAAAACTTTTAGGATAATGGCTTGTGGGCTTTCAAAATAGAGTCAGGCCAACTCTAAAAATGATTTTAATCTGTTTGGAGTCAGTGCAAAGGCATGTACTGTACTGGTGGGGGCAGAGCTGACTCGCTGGATCGACAGGCGGCTCATTATTGTGCGTGGGATTCTGCCTTTTAAGCTAATTTCCTTTCTAGAAGGCAGGTGGGGGGCAGTGTAGAGCAGAAGGATGCACTAGCCAGGTCTC